TAATTTGTAACATTGAATGACTTTAATTTAATAATTTATTAAAAATGTTTACAAAAAGAATTTTTTTATATTTAAAGAATGAAAAACTGAGAATATCAAAATGCGTGGACTTACTGGTTATCACATCATGATAGTCTCGAAGTACTTCGACATTGACAGAGATTTTATTAACTTGGAGTTGGTATGCAAGAAGTTTAATGGTAATATGGAAAAGTTCCACTTCAACCCAATTCCATTGAATTCCAAAACACTTGGATACTTCCCAAACATCGAGACACTTCATTTGTGGAATAGAAAAGCAGAGAATTTCGGCAATGGATTTATGATGAACACAAAAGAAAAAGTAGAGTGTGAAAATAAAGGTGTTTTGAAGAGAGAATTTTTTCGAATCATTGTGTGGTTCAATGTTGACTTTGAAACTGTTGACAGAAACAAAAGTCGAAACATCGAGTTTAAAAATGTTACTTACACTCAAAATGATAGAAAGAAATTTGGTAAAAACATACCACCAACCGTGACATCAATTGACAATTATTGTTTCAGTGAATGCAGAAATTTGAGCAGTATTACAATACCATCAAGTGTGACATCCATTAGTGGTTATTGTTTCTGGGGATGCAGTAGTTTAATTAGTGTTAACATACCATCAAGTGTGAAATCAATTGGTCAAGGTTGTTTCGATTATTGCGGTAGTTTAAGCAGTGTTACAATACCATCAAGTGTGACATCAATTGGTTTATGGTGTTTCCCATCAAATACAGTAGTTCATGGAAATTAATTTACTTAATATTTAATGTTTATTATTGTTTTGAATAAATTTAATTAAATTAAAATTTTTTTATTAATTATTATATTATTATTTATTAAAAATAAAAAAATAATTGAAAAAGTCAATTAATTATTTCTCGAAATTGATTTAATCAATTTAATCAATTTCGTTAAAACTCAAAGTATAGGTGGAGGCTCCTAAATCCGGCCCCCCTCCCCCACCCACCTCCTGGGAACTGAGATTACTTAAATGTAAGATTGTGTAAAATGGTGAGTATATAGCACGTCATTATAAAGATATTAATAAGTTAATATCAAATATAATTAATAGAGATTTAATCATAATAAATACTACTTGTAATTAATAAATTAAATATTTGTAATTGTAGAAATATATTCAATTTTTTTAAATAAGAAAATAAAAAAACATTATTTTCATACGCCAATTTTGAGTGATATATAGTGTGTTCGAGTGGTGGTGATAGTAGTAGTAGTAGTAGCGTATGGGAGGGGGATAGTAGTAGTAGAGGGTGCGCGCGAGGGGGGGGCCTAAAGCCAGCCCGCCACCCCCACCCACCTCCTATAGTGTGGGTTTACTTATATAGTATGGGAGGGGAATAATGAGATCTCGTGTGATGATTGGCACGTCAATGAAACGAGTTTTGAGTGGAAATCAATAATGATATAAATAACAATATTTAACAAATGTTATATATAACAATACATATAAATAGAAATGACAACAAAATAATAACAATTTTATAAAAATAAATTTGAATAACAATTTTAATAACAATTTATATAAATAAACAACCCTACTCCAACAATTTTAAGTTCTTATATTGATACCCTAGTGGAATATATCAATAGGTTTTATATTAACCCTAGTGGAATATTCCACCATGTTTTATATTCAACCCTAGTGGAATATTCCACTTCGTAGCCATATATTCCCA